TCCAGAATCATAGAGTGCTCCCTCTACGTTATAGTTTGTAAGAACACTTCCTTGATGCTTCTTGTGAGTTATCTAATTTAACTTCAACCTAGATAATATGCACATACATTGGTAACACACAAGGCGCCCAAAGATAACAAAATTTCAACATAAATACTATCTTTTTCAAATAATATCAAGACAACTTTGAGACAATCAGAAGAGATAGAAGGAAGTAAAGATAAAATATATCTTGTAAAATCATAACGGTCAATACATGTGCAGCCAGAGATAAAAATATCAAAATGAATTTTATAACATCAGAAAAGCATAGATTACAAATATTTCAACAATTAGATTATGGCAACATCTGCTAAACAGGGTAGTAACATATATAAATATGCACGTGTTATTATCTAACGTTAACATCACCATAATAGATGCTTACCAGTATCTCTGCATAAGAAAAATCTTCAGCAAGGTTTGATTTGAAAAAATAGTCTGCAATAAATACCTACACATCAAATATGTTGACACATATCAGCATTGTAATAACAACAAGTCTTATTCCATTACATGGGATCAGCGACATGGATTGCACAATGCCACTGTACTTTATAAGTACATTAACTAGGACAAAATAGGCAGATGCTGGACAGATCAAACTTTCTGCTTGCTCAAAACCTCAAACCAACGTTTAAATAAGAAGATACATATAAATACTTCTCAACCTTTAGGAGCAAGTCAAGATATGCAAACTGTAAATGAGGTGCATATAAGAAAGTTGGCAATGAATGATTCTTTTCTAACTCAGTATATTTACAATGTCATCAATACTCGGGAGAAAAAATAAGTTCCACATGGATATCTGTTGGACCCGAGCCCAAATATACTTATATGAAAAGAAGACCTGGGCCCAAGATGTGAGGAATGGGTGACTGCTGTTAACAGGGGTATTGAGGTAAATTGTAATAGTGACGGTTAGGCATTAAGGGGGTATATGACAGAGTTGGTTAGAGGGGGAGAGGTGTGGAAAATACTGGTGAGTTGTGAGGAGAGTGGAGTGCTTCTGTTTTCCATTCCGAGGATTGATTCCTTGAATTGAATCCTACGACCTTGGAGTTAAATCCAACAATATCACATTTAAAAGTTTCAGCTCTTTTTGTCCATTTGTGCATGAAGATTGAAATGACAAAAAAACCAAACAAAAAAAAGAAAACTTTTCACTTTATTACTCCTTCCATATGATATGACTTGGATAGATTTCTCTTGGGGCGGAACATGAACTCTGTGAATCATGATTTTTCCCTGCTTATTACGCATTTTCGGAATTTCAATGAGCAAAATGCCCATATATTGAGACACAATAAGGGCACGTGAGAAGTTACAGAGAAAATTAAACCTTAGGCTTTGCTAGAAGAAGCACATCACGGTGGATGCCAGATAACCACCAATGGTCCTGATCTTCAAGATAAGAGCCATCGCTCCATCTAAATACTTGAACAGCTAGAACATTCTTAAGATCTGAACCGCAAGGATGACAAAAATCAGTAATTTCAAATTCTGCAGGTAGCCTGCTGTCCTGACTGTCCTTGCAAAACATTTAAGTATTTTGTCAATGGATGGATCCAAAAGTTGGTTAATGTCAAAGGCTTCATCCATAGAATCTCTTTGCGTCATATAATAATCCAAATAACATTAGCCATAAAAGTAATGCCCCTTTTATTTTTAGAATATGAACACCCATGTCCTACTGTTATGCATGGATATATTCCGAAGAAGTTAGTCAACCACAAGTCATTGTTCAAGTGAAGCTCTATTTCTGATGTACAAAGAAAATGGACAGCTCTTGTACGTGAATCAGCTCCATAGAAACTTTTTGCTTTTGTACCTTAGTATTTTCTGATTTATTGCATCTTTAAAGAGAAAAAATTGTTTTTTCATCCCAATATAATATGCAAAGGATGCTAACCTTCACATGAAAGTGAGAATGCATAAAATCATCAAATAAGTTTCACCGAATACCTATATCCCACAGGGGACCCATTTATCCAAGCACAGAAAGCAGAATCAACACCTTCAAAATGCAATAAAATTCTTCTACCTGTCAAAAGTCAATAAAAAATGCATTTGAGTATTTTAAGGTTAAGTGCAATAGTCCATAAAAGGAAACGAACAGATAATGTCTTAGGTAAATAAGGATAACAGAATGAGAGAACTTTTGCAACACACCAAGTCAAACTATCTTTTCACACCATGCAAAAAGTCAACACAACCAATCGCATAAAAGAAAAGAACAGAGGAAATTTCAAATTATTCACGCAATCAGAGATTACAAGTAACATGCACCATAACTAAAATTTAAAAAATAAAAAAGACAGGAAGAAAGAAGGACTGATAAAACCAAATTCCTCAAAAGTTTATATCGATCAACCAAAAATATAGACCCAATGTGATAACATTCCAAGAAAATTGAATAGAACATACCCTCCCACTCTTGAGGAATGTGGAACTCAATCCTGTAGCAACCTGTAGGATTCTCTGTAGGAACAAAAGGAGGATCCATTGGAAATGGATAATCTATATTTGTATATATAGGGCGGTCAAACCCATGCAGCTGCCAATTTGAAGGAACTGTCCAATTTAGAGGAAAGAACCCAAAAATAGATGAAAGATTAGCCCTTGGATCATATAAAACATATTAGATGACGACGACAATGATGATAAAGATGATAAATGTAAAAAAAGTAATTGCTGTCTCATCTATCGAATACAGTGAATTCACAAAGCAAATTTAAAATCCCGCAAGGCCAATAGAACCAAAATTAGGGGCTAATAAAGCAAAATTATAATGCCTTAGAGGGGTCTACACGACCATTATTGTTTGCTACATCCGTCAAGAGACATTTTTCTTGTCCTTATTTACTGTAGTTCTTTTGTCAACTTAGAACTAAAGAAAGGTAATGTGCTTCTTAGCATGATAAGAAAATAGTTTCCATAATGATATGATGCCCTTTATAATAAAATGAAAGGCTTGCTTGATTTTGTGGAAGTTCATAAATGCAATAGAAAATAGAAATGAGGAAGAAACTGCACAAAAGAACGTGACTATAAAGCATATGGGTACTGACATGAAAACTAACCAGGCAAAGTGGTCCACTCTGAGTCCTGGAAATCACTTTCATAAAATTTTATCGGGACACTAGTAGGACTCGAGGCCAAGTAAAACTTCCAATATCCAGACATTGACTTAACAAAGGGCAAGCCCTTGACCCAAAATGCAGCACAATCAAGAGCTCCAAGAACAGCATCATCATTCCAAGTAGCAGACTTGGAAACCAGGAAGTCCACTTTGCTGCGATCATACCAGTACCTAAGTGATCCTAATCATATCACAGAATGTCAGAAAACCTTAAAAGGGGAAAAAAAAAATTAAATGAGATATACCATAAACAAATTGAAAAGTAAGTGTCCCTTACATGAAACAAAAACAATATTACAAAAGCTTTAAGAGTTAAAATTATCAATCCAATTTCACATAGTTGCTTCAATTTTATGTCTCACGACATAAATTAAACCAATTTGTTCTTAACAACTCGTTTTGAGGGAGTGGATGCAGGGGGAATATGAGAGTACACAAAGCCATGCTATCTTGGATTCAAAGGATGAAAAGAACCATAGTTAACAGAACACTTAACTCCACGCCAGTTCACAGCAAGGAAATCAAAAACTGCATCTTTACTCCGAGATTGGAAAACAATGCCACACAACCAACTCTCGACAAGCGAAATCAGCATGGGAGGTTATTTATGTCAATTTGGTTATTTCAACAGTGAAATTATTGTATTGTTACCAATAGTTTATCATTAATTCATTCCCCCACGAGTTCCTAAAAACAATTAAATTAAAATTCAAGATGAAACATGTGAAAAAAATTTCCCTTTTCTAACCCCAATTTTTCATCCTTTTGTCTGATCAACTGATGAACAATCCAGTGATAACTGAGGTTCCAAAAGGCACAGTCATTAATTTCCATGTGATTCAGAGGATCGCCAAATTTCAAACCTCAAGACTTTTTAACGACGGTAAAGCAATTAATGTAAAACCCAAGATATGTTAGTTCATCATCGAGCCTCACCTTCAATTGAATCATGGCAATGCAAAGTCACGTGGGGGTCTCTTTTTCTCCACTTGATGAAAGATGGATCCTCCCACACTCTGTAACCATGAACATCGGGAGGAAATACGATTTGCCCAATTAAATTAGATGCCATCAGCAAAAGCTCTCTCTGCTAGTACACGAAGAGAAGAGAGTAAGAGAAGGAGTGAGTGAGGAAGAGGATGAAGAGGCTCGTAGTCAGTCAATGCACTACGTTAGTGGATCTGCTGTTTTATTGGATTGGATTGCGACGAAATCAGATGAGCCATTTGTTGCCGTTTTATGCACAGTTTCGAATGGCCCAGGTATCCGACATGTCGTTTTAGTTCATGCTGAAATATAACAGCAGGAATTTCCACTGTAAAGAATACCCCAATTATGGTGGGGTTTTTTTCCTGCATTTTAAAGAATAGCATTTGAAGCTGAGGAACGTGCTTATATTTTTCAAATATAAAATTATATGGTTTTTTTAAAATTTTTTAGTTAAAATATAGTTATCATGGTTTTAAAACCCAAAGTGAATTAATCCATGGCAGGTGTAGTAAAAAATTTTGGGGGGAGGTCAATTAGGATAGATTTTAAAATTCTTTCTTACTAAATTTGAAATGATGTTATTTTGAGTTTTAAAAAATATAGCATTCCATCATATTTACGCTTTAATAATTTTATTTTGTTGAATTATGTATAATTCATTTAAATAGTACTCTTTTAAAATCATATAAAAATATTTTTATATATTTATTTGAATTATGTTATTTTAATCGAGATTGATTATACTTAAGAATTATATATTTATTACTGTATTTTTCACACAGTTGAGTTTTCTAGTTTAATTTCATAATTTAAGATAGTAATTGAGTAATTGAATCATTTAAGTTTTATCCATCGTGAATCATTCTGGATAGAATTTAAATGATTCTATTTATAAAGTAAAAATACAATGTTTGGCATTTTCATTAAAATAATATAAACAGTGAAAATATTTATCCAAATGGTATGTCATAAGAATTATTTAGTGAAATACTATATTTTGACAAACTTGTTCCTACTGTGCTGAGTTTTCACTTTGATATTTAGTATATATTTAATCTTTTAATTTTATACAAATTTTAATTTGATCTTTTAATTTTAAAAAGCATATATTTGGTACTTTAATCCTAAAATTATTAGGTATAAGTGATAACTTTTTGTAACAATTATGGTTATTTTTAAAATTAAAATTAGTATGTTAGTATTTGAAAATATTTTATCAATATTTAAGATCTTAATGTCATTATTTTTTTTACTAACAATTTTAGAATTAAAAAAACTAAAAAGTATACTTTTTTTAAAGTTAGAAGGCGAAATTAAAACTAATGTATACTATAATCTTTTTTAAATAAAAATAAAAAGGAATTCGTTCAGACAGTAACGCTATGTTTGGCTCGACGGAAGGAAGGGGAGGGGAGGGATTTTAATCAAGAGAAGGGGAGGGGAGGAAAGGGGAGGGTAGCTACAAAGGGGAGGGGAGGGAGGGGAAAGGGAGGGGAGGGATTTTAATGATCTCCTGTTTGGATTGATTGGAGGGAAGGGGAGGGAGCAATTTTAATAATACCTTATTTTGTTCTAATAAAAAATTGACTATTTTAGCCTCATAAAATTTAAATGAATTTTCTCACTTTTTATTTTGTTAAGATATAACTATATATATATATAATACAATTCACTAATTTTGATTTACAAGATACAGTCACACACTTATAGAATATCAAGATAAAAACTCACAAGTGATAGATTTCAATCAAAGAAAAGACCTTGAAGGTGAAAGAAAATACCAACGGCCTCTTAGAATTAGAAGAGAAAAAAAGTTTACAAATACTCACTAATTTTGGAGATAATTATCTTAATAACCTCTTATTAGATGTTCAAAAGAACTCTCTTATGTAGAAATGTTTATGACTGATTAGAGGTTAACAAATCGAAAGGGCATATAAGAAATTAAAATATCATCTTTCGCCTCCCCTCCAAAAAACCCCACTTTTGGAGGGGAGGCTAGAAGGGAAGGGGAGGGGAGAAGAACCCCTCCCCTCTTTAAAAAACATCTTAACCAAACGAGGGGAGGGGAGGAGCTCCCCTCCCCTTCTAAAAAATTATACCAGCCAAACAAGGGGAGGGGAGCAACTCCCCTCCTCTCCCCTCCGAAAACCCCGTACCAAACATAGCGTAAATGTCAACGAGTTCACCTCTTTCATTTTCATTTTCGAAGCAAATTATAAATAAATGCCCCATCTTATTTTAATTTTGGAAAAATTATAATTAATATCCCATTCCTATAACCACCTCTTCCTTTATTCTATATCTCCTTCTAAATAGAAAAAAATGCATACAAATCTTGTAAAAAAATTGCTTTTCCTCTTAATACTTATATTTAAAAAATAGATAAATAAATTAAATTCTCATAAAATATTGATAAATCTTCCCTAGTATATCCAAATCTGCACTTATTTAATTATGAAACATATGCTTATTAATTTTTATTCTTATCATAATTACTCAATAATATTTAAAGCAGGGTATTGTACGAGAAACAAACTTAATAGCTTCATATATTTTATGAAATAGCTTAGTGTTTAGCCTTGAAAGAAGTCTTGATGTCATGTGATAGCAGGTTTGAAGGATAGAAGATTTGTATTGAAGTTGACTGTAAGGAACTACATGGGTGAGACCCAAATTTGCAGCATCACCACTCTTGCAGAAGATTCTTTTGTCTGATTCAATTGGAAGGAGAACTAAAGAAGTTGCTGGCTATGTTGCAGAACCTCCTATTGTAAATTTGTGGAACAGAGATTGTTGTTTTGTTTTTCTTGAAACTGGTTTCTGTTTTTGCTTTATTGTTGCTTCTTTTGGTAAGTTTTTTGTGTGTTAGGTTGCATTTTTAGGATTTTTCGTAGATTTTTTTTTTTTGCCTTTGGCTATTAATGTGTGTAACTTTTTTGTTTGGTGATTAATAAAATAGACTTGTTTTTGACAAAAAAAAATATTAAAAACTTTAAGTGCGCAAAATCAATTAAAAGAATTTTGATTATTAGTTTCTTAAGTGATATTTCTTAATTTTAATTCTTAGTCATTATTTTAGCTACATAAAAATAAAAGTTACTTCGCTTATTTTTCATTTACCTATTTTACTTGCATTCTCCATATTCTTAGGGACAATATTTTTTCAAAGATTATTAGTATTATTGTTTTTATATTTGTTACAATATATCCAAGATGATGAATAAACTATCTATAAATCTTATATTTAATGTCTCTAATAGTAATTAATAATTAAAATAAAATGATGACTAGCTAATTTTATAAAAGCCACTTAAGGTGTGTTTGGATTAGCGGTGACAGAAATGGCTTTTTTCTCATCTGACTTCTGCAAATTGAAGTTGAAATATCTGCCCAAAAAAAAAATTGAAGTTGAAATAAAAGTAAGATAATATAATATGATTTATATTTGGATTGATTTTTGTAAAAAAACTAAAAAAGTCAGTCTCACAAACTAAAACTTACTTGGATGATTAATGAAAAAGTAAATTTAGATATAAAATTACTAACATGAATTCTATTAAGTAATACATATTTAATATTATATATATATAATGTGACAATTGTTAAAAAAAGTATTGAAAATAAAATTATTAAGAATAAAAAATTAATTTATTACTGGAAAGAAATTGAAAAATACTAAAATATTTAATTAAATATATTTTATGTGTTGATATATAATCAAATATATAATAGTCGAAGAATCAACAATTTGTATTATATACCTTCTATATTAGCAAAGCCAATAAGGAAAAAAAGGTGTGCTGAACCCAACATTCATTGTATCATTACTTTTTATCGTGAAAAACAAGATATAGGAGCTTTTTTCCAAAAACTCATTTGAACATAGAAGTCAGATTGTCAAAACGTTAAACCAAACATTACTCTTAACCTAAAATCAGCTTTGCTAGTTGGAATGCACGTATGGGCTCAAACGTGATTCCAAACACACTCTTATTTTGAAACCTAACTATTTTGAGTGTATTGTAATAAAATCACACGCGTGTCTATAAGCTAAGGAAGAAGAAATGATATAATGTGAATGAATATTATTATTGCCATTATATTATAAAATGACAATTTTATTTATTTATTTATTTATTTTCTATTTAGTTGAAATCAAATACTTATTAATTATTCAGGTTTTGAACAACAACAAAAGTAATTTTGTGGTGGGACACATTCTCCACTTGGATAGCCATGTTGCTTGCAGTAATCATCACAGTTTGGAAAGGCTGCACATGTTCCTGGGCATTGTGGTGGTTCTTGTCCTGCCACTCCTACATTTATCGATATATACATTCATCAATATAAATATAAAAAATAATTAATTAATTTATTAAGAAATAAAAAATTAGTTATTCTTTTTATATAATGCAACTAAACGTATGCATACTTACAAACTTGTAAATGTCGGTTCAAATCTGAGATCTTATTTAAGACAAAAAAATGGTTAAAATAGTTATTTATAAAAGAATTTTGTTTGTTTTTCTAACACTCTTTTGACTGTTTTGTATTAGAAGTTTTTTTCATCCGTATAAACTCCTTTAATATATATAATTAAAAAAATAATATAAGAAAAAAAACTATAAATTTAAAAAATAGATTAAAATTTTATATTTAGTATTAAAAGAAGTAGTTTCGTTGTATTAGCAACAACAAAACAACAATAATTATAGCCATAATCAATTGGATTAGCCAGAAATCTTGTGTTCTTTCTGACTTACTCTCTTTGGCCTCTGACTGATTTGGGTAAATTAAAGAAAGGGGAGAAAATTAAATCACTAATAAACATACTAATATGAATTAATCATGTCAAAATCTCTTACGTAATTTTCTAATATCATTTAGTTTCAAGAGGCTAATGAAACTGGGTTTTGAAGAAGCCAAATTGAATTATATGCCAAATCACAAACGAATCAAAATCCATTATTCTAACAACAATTTCCTTTATTCAAAACATTATTAATTTGAACACGAGATCTTATTTCAAGAAACTATGTTATAACGAACCAGTCTTAAACCTAAAATATTATGCATATAATTATAATTAAAAAAAAGTTTTGAACATACCAAATGAAAAGAGGAGCATAATCACCGTAG